TAATGGGTATGTCTAGTATTCTCTAATCATCCACACCCCACACCCACCCACACCCACACCCACACCCCACCCACACCCACACCCACACCCTATTTTTCATCGGCTATCAGTATGATACGCCAAAACAAACGTTAAAAAAAGAACTTTTCCAGAAAGGTGGTACGCTTCCCATGGATCTACCCAATACTGAGATCATCACAACAGATTATTAAAATCGTATAACAAATTGATTCGCATTGAAATAGTAAATAAAAGATTTATCATCAGATGACACCTATTGAAAAAAATTTCTAATCAATATTCAATTAAAGATTAAATCAAAAACTGAAAATTACTTTCGATAGAAATACACTAAATTTGCTTTTTATTATCTTACGCTTATTTAACTCGAGGAAAATGCTTCAATCAACCGATAACGTTAATTTATTTACTTTTTAATTTGAGATTTTTCTGCAAAATTCAATTAGCTGTTTTATGCATTAGACTTGACAACTCAAATATTATAAACATTCTCGTGCAGTCTACTTTCGATCTAAAATGATCTCAATGTGAAAAAATTTGTTTATTTTAAATATATCTTTTAGAATTGAGTACATTTTCTCAGTTAGTTGTGGAATACATTCAGAAGAATTAATTCCTATAGTCGATTCGAATCATTTTTCAGTTCATCCCATTATGTGTTGTTTCAAGTGTCCTTAGGTTTTCTTCTACTTCGTTCATCTATCTATAGTTGTTATTTGGAAAATAAGAGAGATTATTATTATCGATTAGTTGGATCGAAACTACCCGTTAACAATCACCAATAATTCTTTTAATTACATATTCAATAAGTTGAACTCAAATCTAAACAGAATTTCAACACTCGATGGCTTTTACGATCAACAACATAAAGAGTACTTTCTTGATCAAGCGACGCACTATGAGGATAGGGTGTGGGATGTGGGTGTGGATTTGGATTTGGAGGCGGTGTGCGTGCATGAAGTTATTACTCACACCCACACTCACAGGCACAGACACACACTGACACTCAAACACCCACACTCTCCTTTAATCGATCAGTTAAATCGAAACTTAGCCGTTAACATTGACGCATTAGCCCGGTTCTCTTATCAATTCTTCATCACAAGAGAGGATCCAAATAAGTATTTTTTTTGTTATTTTGGTTATTTGCCACACACTAATACATATGTATATGGCACATCAGCAACAATGAATTATGTCCATCGCTGATCGGTTAGCTAAACAGCTATTATCAAACCGAATTACAGAATTGTTTTAATCGACACCCTTCTGCGATTCTCCTTCACAAGATGTTGTTATTTGGCTTTATAATTTCAATCGAAAATGTGACGATATTCCGTTTGATGATTCCCAAAGATTGATGGTAGCTCGTCAGCTCATAGCAAACGGCGTCAAATTATGGTCCGGCATATATAGAAATACTTGTAAGGTCTGGAAAACATTTCAAGATGAAATAACTGCCATCTTTCTGCGTCCTTCACGCTCGATTCAGCTTTGTTGTGTTCAACAATAACTCAGCCAACGGCAAAAACCGAACATATCGGTCCACCGGCATTATATCTTCCATTGGCAGCATATCAACGATTCGATAAGATAGCGCAAAGTCAAAACCGAACAAGATCGATTGAATTTAGCTGCTAAAGCTGACCGAAGTTTACTCAGAAATATAGACCAGCCGTGTTTGTATTCGGTCGAAACAGAAACTGAATGGTGAGTTGGAACTGAATCCTGGCACATATACGACATTTTATCGCCTCGAGCTGTCATTGTCTCACCTGAAGGATTCGAGCAACAACTTTCTTTCATATACATTCTCGTTGACGACAGCACTCAATTGAACACATATACTGGCATTCTTGTTGTGCAACAACAATCAAATGACGAACATCAAGAGCAAATGAAGTCAATAATAATAACAACATCAAGTTGTACACCACATTTATTACCAAATACAAGACCCCATAATCTTGGTCATTCACTAACAGTTAAAACTATTCCTACAAAACGACCATTTAATGCTTTTCCAACATGTACAACAACAACACAAAATCAATCTGCATTTCGATCGAAAATTGAGTCAAGCATGCAAGCTTTATCAAAAGAATCTACAACAGTTAAATATGATAATGATCAACGTCATATAAAAACAAAGCAGGTTATCATTGCGGTTCTAACCTTGTGAATTCCCAATCTTTTATATCAATATATTATGGCTATAATATTCTTTGAGAAAAAATACGTAAAAAATCAAATTCGATTGACGACAGACCACATCGCTTCGTCAACCACCGTTCACCACAAACATATATTGTGGAACACAGTCAAAACATAAGTTATTTAAAATATTGTTGGTGGCAGGAACGATCTGTTCCAGCTAGGATCCTAGTAGCAGCAGGTTATCATATGGATACCACTGAGAGTTGGAATAAACTCGTTCTAAGCGGTTTACATTTTTTCTTCTGTTATTATTGTTTTCTCTCTTTTCTCTATTTGATATAACTGCCAATTTGATGACCAGGACGATCATCTTGCCGAATGGGGGAGGTGTTATAGTGTGCATCAGTTATATATCATATTTTCTGTTTTTCTTTCTTTCCTGTTGTGCTACAAATATATATTTTTTTCTTATGTTCGTGTCCTTTCTTCATAATCAGGTATTTTTCACAACGTTATCTTTTTTGATGTTTTTAAGGTATTTTCTCTCTCGCTCATCTCTTTCTTCCAATTATATTCAGATTTTTCCTAGTTTGTTAGTATATATAGCAGACGTTTTTGGAAAAATAAACCAGCCATTTAATCGATCAGTTAGATCGAATCTTCTGTTAACAGTTTGACAGCCTTTGAATCCATACCGTACACAATTATTGATTCAGTTTATTGAAAAAAAAAAAAGTTCCACTTTTCTCCCCTGCATCCTGTCAATCCCATTCGTTGCCATTATACAAACTGAAACATGCTTGACCTTCAATTAGAACGATTTACCCGAAGCCAAAATTGGATCAATGACAGATTGCCAATCAGATAGAGTCCAGGATTCATTAGCATTTGTGATCATGCCATTGATCAAAAACGTTGGTGTAGCACCAATACCTAAATATGATTAGAGGGACTACATAAAATTACATCTTTTCGCTATCATTTTGAATTCATTCACCTCTCGAACAGGCGTATTTCCATGAGATGCGTGTTTCTTGGTTGATATAGTTACTCTTCAATCCATCCAAGAAGTCATCCTTAGCCATGAAGCCGGCTTCAAAGACAAATGACGCAAGCGAGTCCATCACTTGGACTATTGTCATATTTTGAGTCGCTCCATTATACCATATGTCTTGGCTATTAAGCACGAAAGTGGTATATCGAAAGATTGCATTCGTATCGCGATTAGTGAAATTGGCAATGACATGCATGCCTTGGGCAGCGACAAATGCATTTGTATGATAGGGAAGCGGAAATGTATGAATACGAAAATGTATTTGGGTACCATAGACTTGCATGACTTGACGGGCAACCGGCCATGCAGCTTTAGTGTCCGGACAGAGAAGACAAAGAAACATTTCCACGACGACATGTGCATCAGCGGGTCCGCCAAATCCGTAGCCATCCGGACGTAAGGGAATAGGCATTTGAGCCAGCATAGAGCTGGCAAGAAGCACGATGAACAAAGTAGTGGCAGCGATTGTCAACTGCATCTTTTTGTTGTTGTTGATCACTAAATCACCGTTTCTTGTGTCACCTATTCACTCGACGTTTGTTAGTATGTGTGATGAGACAAACGGCGTAAGAACGATTTTATACCATTAAGTTAACAAAGAAGCGAGTTGATTTATTATGTACATACACGCAAAATCAAGGTAGAGTTAACAAAGCCGTCTCATATAGCATGTAACAAGAGCCTACATCATTTATGCATTGATATTGACTAATCTTCAACAGGTGTTTCTCAAGTTTTAATATTGATCTAGGTTCACAAAATATCCGGCATTCACTCAACTGCCGTTTCGTCCTGGCTTTCTAATGAATTCGGTTTTTTTCGAGTGTTTCGTGCCTTGATCAAATAGTTATCTACCGTCGAAAGACAAATGTTAAAAGGTCAAGTCAAACTGTGGAAAATTGTAAAAGTACAAATCCAGTGGGCTTTTTTTATTGATACAAAGCTAGCTAGAATCATAGAAAAATGATAGTACCAAATAGTCCAGAAAATGAAAGGATGGGTTACCGGAAGTTCGCCAATAAGACTTTTGCCAGTAGGACATTCGCCAATGGCGAAAATCCACGGGTATATTGGCGAAATTCTACTGTACTTTCGCCAATTGGCGAAATTCTGATGGGTGTATTGGCGAAAGTCCACTGTACTTTCGCCAATTGACGAAAGTACAGTAAACTTTCTCCTACTGTCACGAAATAATATTAATACAGGGCACATGTAAGAGTTGAAGCTACAGTCTGTCGAATTCAAGAATTTCTGGAGACGAACCCGATTGATGGATCTTTTAAGAGAAGAATTGGAAGAAATC